CCCCCCCACACCACCCCCAAACCCCAACCCCGAAACCCCGAACAAACCGAAGGAGGAACGAGAGAGAGAGAGGGGGGGGAGACGAGGGCGGAGGTACAGACAAGCTCGCACTCGGAACACGCGTGTTTTCACACTTTCCAGAAGTGCTCTTCGATGAGGACCTCATCACGAGGAACCTCCAAAAGTTCTGCAGGGAAGCATTTCGCTTCCGGGGCGAATTGGCGGGAAAGAGCGTCCGCCTGGATATTGGTCACTCCCGGAAATATATGCACGAGCCCCTTCACCTGGTAGGCTCTGACTGCTTGGTCGTAGGCGAACTCGCGGGCCAGGACGTTGAGGTCGGGAGCTTTCGCGCTCCCTTTGGCCAAGGCCTTCAGGAAGCCGAGGTTGTCGGACTTCGCCCGAAAGAGGGCGCCATGAACGAGCGCAGGCAGCCACAGCCTAAACGCCACCAGTAGCGCAAGGCCCTCCCACAAGGTGTTGTGTTTCGGGAGGCCGCGCTCTGCCCCGAACTTCTTGAGGACACCGTCCGGGAGGTGGCTGTAGAAATAGCCTGTCGGCTTTCCCGAATGCCGCCTCACTCCTCCGATGCCCCAGGGGGAGGCGTCGGTGACGATTTCCAAGTCGGTTCTCGGCGGGCGGGCGTAGAAGATCTTCTCGATGGTGGGGCCGCCAGACAAAAGGGCCCTAACCCAGCGCAGCGCTGGTCTGATCCGTCGGATGTGTATGAGCTTTCGGGCCTCCTTCACGGGGAGGCCTTCACTTGTCACAGCATGTCTCGAAAGAACCGACCAGAACGAAGCCAGGAATGGCCTCAAATGCGGGACCAGCCCCGCCACGAACGAGAGCGCTCCCGTGTAGGACCTGAGCTCCCGAGCTCCTGCCACCGGCTCTGAAAGAAACCTGTTGGTGTCTGCGAGGAGGGCCTGTATCTTGGCCTCCGGCAGGGTAACCACGACCGCCTCCTCGGCGTCCAGGCACCTTATCTTTGCACCGACCCATTCGAGCTCCTTGCCCCCCGTGGCCTTCGACAGTTTGATGGGGTAGCCGCAGACAGCCGTCCAAAGGAGGATCACCGACAGGTCTCCGGCCGCTGCCTCTGCAGAAGGACCCTCCAGGACATAGATGGGGTCGTCCACGTAGCATTGCAGATCGGCTGGGGAAACCGCGGCGGACGTGCGCCCAAGCCATGCGGCGGCCCTGCCCCAGATGGTGAGCGAAGAGGCCGACCCAAACACCAAGGTGTTAAAGATGATGAGGCGGTGTCTCTTGCCAGGCCGGTTGCTTGAACCCGGGACGGCTGCGACGGTGAAGCGTCGGTCTGCCCCCGCAGGTATGTTCATGAAGGCGTCCTTGATGTCAACACCTGCGAGGTAGGGGGGTCGGCCTCGCCGATAGGAAGCCAGCGCCGAGGCCACGACGTCCAAAAGGCGCGGGAGTATAATCCTCTCCCCTTGGTGGCAGGCCTTGTTGACAGAGGACTCCCGGAGGTCCCAAATGACCCTTGCCTTCTTCACCACTTTGCCGTGGGCATCTCGCTTCTCCTTCACCAGAACGCCCAGCTTGTTGAGGACCGGCTTTCCACCCAAAACCTCCTCTGCCTCCTGCTGGGAATATGCAATCTGGCAGAAGCCGCGGGCCACGTAGTCGCTGATCAGCTTTTGTAGGGTCTCCGCTTCTTCCTCAGCTGACTGATAGTTCGACCATCCTTCCAGAGTTCGGGCGTCCAGCTGGGAGTGTGGCGTGACGTTGTGGGAGCTGACCTTTGGGAACACTCCTCGGCTGGGAATCGGTGGGAGATCCCTAGGGGTGCCCCGTTGTCCAACCAGTTGGCGAGGGTGGCCGCGTCTGGGTCCTCGGTGGCCAGGCCCCAGGACTCTATAATGTCCGCCCTGAGCGGGGTCTCGGCGGGAGCGGTCCTCCTCCTGGCTTTCACTTTGTCGCTCGTGCCCAGGACGGTGTGGACGGCGGACCTGACCGAGTCCACGGTGCCGCGTCGAAGTCGCTCGGCTCCTCTCCTCGAAGGATAGCCCTGGCTGGCTCGACGAGCTCTGGCCACTTCGCCAAGGTGTGGCGCAGGAGCTTGTGGATAGCCCTGCCCACCCGGCGTGACCTCGGGAGCCGGCTGAGTGCAGCGCGCGGTTGCGCATGCCGCCCAGCGCCTCGGCGTTCTCCCGCTCGCGGTCCGTCTTGTCCTTCGGGAAGGCGGTCAGCTCCTCCTCCAGGTGGGGCGTTCAAAGGTCCTCCCTCTCTCGGAAACCCTGGTAGAGGCAATGAGCCACGACCTGCGCAAAATGCGGCGTGTACTCGCCCTGGCCCTTCGAAGCCCACTGCGCGCCGGATGCTCCCTGCTCCCTCTGGCCGGCAACTGTGCCATGAGTGCCGCGAGGATGGTCGCAGCGGAGCCCGCGGAGCTCCTTGAAACCCCTTGGCGTGCGCACTGTAGAGGACCTTGGTGGGCTTAACAGTGGCAAGGCCGCACCGACATTGGTCGAACACTGCCTCGGCTGTCCTGTCGAGCTGGGACAGCTGGCGAACGAGTGGCATCTGCCAAAGCTCGGGCCTGTCGCTGCCATGGACGGGGTTCTCCAGGCCCCAGGTCTTGCGCTCGTCCCACGCCAATGACAGAATGTCGAAGGTGCGCTCAACGAGGACGTTGGCCTCTCTGACCTGGTTCTTCTCCCGAGGTCCCAGGCCCGAAATGCCCTCGATCTCCTCCACCGATCGCAGAGGTCTGGGTCCCGGCCTCACTTCGCGTAGCGGGAACGTGCCACAAGGCGTGCCGGCCCAAACCACCTCAAAGTGACCATCGTTGACATCCTTCTCCAGGGGGGTCCATTGTGCCTCGTCCAGGGCGTTGCAAGGGTGGTCGGCCACCAGATCAATACAGCAGACCATGAACCCAAAGTGAACAAGCCAGTTGGGGAGGTCCCCCTTGCGGCGCCTGCCGCTAAAGAGCACAAGGGCCCAGGGCCGCTCCTCGAAGGTGTCCGAGGGTATCTCCAGCCAGGTTCCGTACTCACGAGGTGCCCGGGCCAAGGGCTGGTAGTCAGGTAGAGCGCCGGCCGCCGGTGGTATCTGCAGCAGGCTCTTGAGGCTGGCCGTTCGGGTGCCTCGGCTCGTCTCCTTCTTCTTTCTCTTCTTGCCTTCGCCCGTGGGGTCGTGGCTCCAGGTCCGTCGGCAGGCCGTGCCTCCGCAGAGGACGTGGCTGGTTCCGCGGCCGCCCCTGTGTCCGGCGGGTCGCTGCGAGGCTTGGGGCCATCTTGCCTCTTTCTCTTGAGGGGAGGCCTTGGTGGCGTTTTGGGCGCTGCTTGGCCTCCAGGTGCGGGGCCAGCTGCCTTCGAAGCGCAGGTCTTGTCCACGAGCTCCTGGGGTGTGCTGGCCGCCGCCGTTGCCCAAAGGGTACTTCTTGGGCTTGGGTGCTGCAAAGCGGCCTCCATGCGTAGTGCCCGTGGGTCTGCTGGCACCGATCCTCCT